TGTGCCGGATCCTATCCAGAAACCCTGACGTTAGGTTCCGGATGTGGTCCAGCAGGTCCTCTGTATCCAGGTCTCTTCGCAGGGTGGTATTTCTGTATATGCCATATGGTCGTGCCATACTAGCCGCTTGTCGTATGTAAGTCCAAGATAGGTTATCTTGGACCTCCATGGCAGCTTCTCCTATGTTCCGTATCCGGCGTCTAAGGCAGGGCCTTTGTAAGCCTTGCTGACGAGTCCAATAGGTAGGCCCGGGACGAAACGCATGGTGCTTCAACGCGCGCCATAACCTCAAAGCAATGATAGTTCTTCAATCATACTCTGTAGATTCTTTCGGTTTTCGGCTATAAGTGTAATGTCATTAGCAAATCTGACATGATTTAGCCTTTCGCCGCCCATTAGAATTCTCGTGTTCTGCCAATTTAGGATTTTGAGAATTTCTTCTTGAGTTAAGGTAAATAGTTTAGGAGAAAGCGGGCCTCCTTGTCTTACTCCACGTTTTAACTTTATTTTATTTGTCTTTTCTTGCTTTAAATTATTTGGGATGTCGCGTTTCCAGCCCATATCGGAGTCTATTATTGCCATACAACTTATTACACTATACATTTTTTAAATGTAAATCGTGCTTTAATTTAAAAGCCGTAAGATACAGTGTGTCGCCCTTAAGATGGAAACACATCCTGTATTTTATTTATTTTTGAAGCAGGGTTTTCAGTTTCTGCATAGAGGTAGAACGCCATGAGCTTAATTGGTTACCGTTCCCATTTCTAATTTCAAATGAAAACCCAGCCTTCTACGACTTCCCGAATAGGGACAATTTGCTATATTTTACGATGTGTTATAGATATCGGAAAAGTTTGCTTGACAAAGTTGCTCAGAATGTAATTTTAACGGTAAATACCGATTTTTCGGTATATTACCGGTAAATTAAAATACCGTTTATTTACTTCACGTCAAGCTTGTCTTGTTCTCTCATATAGTTGTTCTCGAGTTTGAGGCCTTATTTTGTAAACCTTTCTCTTCAATAGTGCTCCAGAAATAGAATTTTATTGACGTAAGGTCAGGGGAGCGAGGGGGCCACTGTTCAAATGGGCTGGTTCTGCTAATCCATCTTATTGCAAAGTATCGATTTAGCCAGTCCCGGACCCACCGGGAGTTATGAATAGATGCACCGTCTAGTCGGAAAATAACTTCTGGTCGCACATTAATAGGCAGATCCTCGATAATGACCCAAAATTAATTATTAAAAAAATTAATCAATCGCTCATCATATAAGGTAGTGTAGACGTGAAATGGACCAATTATTCTGTCACCTACAATTCCGCACCACACATTAGCTTTTTGTGAATATTGGCGTTTGCAATTTATAACCCAATGAGGATTTTCTGTAGACCAGTATCTGCAGTTTTGAGACGGAGACGATACTATCCCATTCGAAGTGAATGTAGTCTCATCCATAACATAATTTTTCAAAATAGAAGATGCCATAATTTGACTTTTGACTTGAAACTGGGTATTTACCGTTAAAATAGCATTCTGAACAACTTTTTCTAGTAACTTTGTCCGATATCTCTCACGAATTGCAAAATATAGCGAATTGCCCATATTCGCAAAGTCGTAGTAGGCTGGGTTTTCATCTAAAGTTTGAGATGGGTACCCTAACCAATTAAGCTCATCACGTTCCACCGCTGTACCAAAACTCAAAACCCTGCTTTAAAAAATAAATAAAATACGTGGGTGTTTCCATCTTAAGTGCGACACACAGTATATAAAAAACCCTTAAAAAGCTTTATCAGATTTGAGCTTATTATAAAGTTAATTTAAAGGGTTCCTATGCAATACCAGAATTTTGGATAAATTTCCAGCTGCAACGACGAGCTATGAGGTACTTTTGTTGCAAACATTTGTAAGATAAACACAAATAAACGGTCTAATTAATAGGAATGAATTTGAGTTTTAGACTGGTCGGTTTGAAGACCCATATAAGGAAGCTATATTGGAAAAAACTTTGAACTACGGGTCTCATTTTCAGCACTTCTGATTTGTGGCACCTTGAATGTCGAAAACAGGTTGGCACATTTAGCATTTTATTAAGTTTAAATAATACGTACAATTTGTAAATTATGAACTCCATCTACAGTTTAGTCCAGATTAGACGTCGTTAATTTTAATGGCTGAAAGCATTAAAAATAAAGCAGAATTTTCAGTAAAAATTTTTGGTTGCMGCTGTTTCCCACAACAGAAATACAAGGAGTTGACGTTTGAAGAAAGATTTTGTTTTATTTTCCTGACTGCGKGTAATTGTTATTATAATGTTATGAAACGTTATATGAAATAAACGAAATGAACATTTTTATTTCCYATTTTGACTGAAACCCAGGAAAGAARAAATATAATAAGTTTGAAAAAAAGTTTTATAATAATTCTCAGACCATTCAGTTAGTTTGCGTCAACTTTTGTACACATCTTACATCAATAAGACATATTTTGAGACCGACATTGTTTTCCAGTTCAACATCATTGGTTCTGACTACCGTCATAGATTAACTTGCTGGTGAGCGCTTTCCAGATTTGACCCAATCTGTAACGCCGTTAAATATTTTAAAACAGTAAAAAGATTTTTAAGTTTTCTGACCATTTCTAAGAAATAAACTGCTCTCTAACAATGTTGGTTTTCTTTTATTAATTTGTAAAATTACTTAATTAGTTTCGGATACATTTTGAAATCTTCAATTTTGAAAGTTAAGTAGTCTTGAATCTGTAAATAAACATTAAACAATCACATTGTTTTCTTTATTAGAATAATGGGCTAACATTTTAAAACAGAATAATACATTTTTATTTTGAGTACGCTACGACTGGAAACTTTTGTAGCTGCTAGAAGCCGAAGATACTAACTTTTTGCTTTATTTTCTTGTGTTGTTGCTATGTTGTGTTTCTTAGTTTTTTATTTAAAAAAAGGTGTGCGTCACGGGAAGCTCGACGGAAGTAATAACATCATATTATTTATAGAAACCATAAGATATTAGCCTTGTTCAAAGCATGATGGCAATATTAATTTTATAATTTCAATATTCCTGTTGTCTAATAATTTAGAAATGGATCGTGCGAGCTATGGAGGCAGGTACTCCTTTCTCACTAGAGCGGAGCTCTCTCAATCGCCTGCATGGCAAAGAGGAGGAATATGCAAAGAGCTTCTGAGTGTTTACGTGCAACCCACAGTAGCCCTCCACTAGATAGGACAATATAAAATAAATGAGTTGAAATTTTTAAGATAAACCAATTATTAGAAGCAGGAATAACTGGGTCTTGTTCACAACAAGACGCAGTTTCAAATGGACTAATTTTAATTTCAAGTAAGACTGAAACGCCCCGGACGCTTTGCAAAAAGTATAAAAATCTCCATTATTTGTTATTGACAATAAATAATTGACATTTCTTACTAATGATATAATAGCCAAAAAAGTAAGCTACAAGTTCCAGAAAAATAAACTAAAATCGGTTAATTAGTACAAAAGTTAGATAACTTTGAATTTTACCAAAAAATCAGGAACGCCACATTTTTGGAACTGCGTGTAATTTATTTTTATTAAGACAATTTAAAATCAGTACATTTAGATTTGGGAAGCGGCATAAAAACAAAATGGAAAGGATTTGCAAAATTTATTGATGCTGCTGTTTTATCAGACTTACAGTAATAAAGCACTGAATATAGTAATAACTATCATATGCTTCCATAGGCCTTCAATTTGTGCGCGAGTTTGTTGCACTATTAAAATATGTGAAGCAAAACGCTAAAAGCAAACTGCCAGTCAGTCATTAGTAACATTAATACTAATCAAGTAATTAGTAAATGAAATTTTAGCTTAACAGTTAATAACAACAATATTTTCAAGAAACTAATTAAACATAGAATTAAATAACTAGGAAACTATGAACTATAACGAATATCTAAGAAAATAAGTTGCTATTGCTCCAGAATATTATTTGCCWTTATATGTGTCTATTAAAAGTGAAGACATATTCGGGAGGAAACCTGATCAGCAAAGCCCATTTCCAAAATTAAATTTTCCTTGTTAGAGTCCCTCWATTGATTTACTGAATTAATGATTTGAGGATACGAARTAATATTTTGTATTGACTTAAAAAGCAATCACAGTGTTCGAATCTTGTTATCATATGTGCAATATTTKAAGCAAAACTCATTTGACAAAATTTATAGATTTCTAAAAATATACTTAATGTAAATAAGCATGAACAAAAACGTAGGAAATCAATCTAATACAAAATAAGCGTTAATGCAATTAAATCAGTAAAGGTCTGATCTGTGCCCATAGATTAGGAATTTAATATTCGTCTCCTTCATCAGCCTCACCATCAATAGAATCAACCGCGACCTGAAAAAGTTGAATAAAAGCAACATGAGAAAACATTGTCGAACTTCAAATTGGTTTTCCGAAAAGTGAAACGTTTGTAAATTTTACCATACAAAACAGAAGTTTGCAAGATTTAAATAATGCTTTAAATTTAATTTAATTCAATTAAAAACACAAATATGATTTGAGATAAAACTGCCACTGTTGCCGCGATTATTTGGCTGAGTGTGCAACGAGCAGATAATCATCATCAACATATAATAGTTGTTTACGTAACCAGTAGGATATGAATATTCTTAACGCACGCATGTGAAGAGTTGCACAAGGTTGTAGGCCGAGTCGTCTATTTACATAAGTGCGTCAATAATATAATATCCTACGTGTTACGTACAATACTTTACCTACAACTATAACGATTATTATTTTAATGATTATTTGAGTAAAAATAATTAGTTACAAAATTGAACACAGAACCCAGATAATGAGAATTTGTCATTGTCATCAGAATCATTGTGAACGTGTGTCTTAAAATTATACATTTTATAATGAGTTCAAGCGATGATCTGCCATGTGATATTGAGAACGAAGCTTTTAATGTTGTTTCGGATCTTGTGCCACGGAAACCACAGAAGAAATACAAGCAAGCTTTTGATTGGTACCAGAAATGGTGCTGTGAATCAAAGATACTCAAATTAACAAGCGAGAAAGTATTATTAGTATATTTTAACAAAGTTAGCAAAAGACATAAATTCTCCTCCCTTTGGTCCTCGATGTTCTCTGTGTATGTATCTTTCGTTTACTACACCGTTTCTGGTACCGATCAAAGCTTCTTAGCATTTATTTCTTCCGTTATTTATATGGCACAGAATCCGAAACAATATTAAAAGCTTAGTTCTGAATATCAGATGGCAGATCATCCCTTGAACTTATTCTAAAATGTGCAATTTTAAGACACAACTTTGACAATAATTAACAGATTTATTACCGCACTAGTGCAAATATGAAAAAAGATGCAAAATTTTTGACTGAAAAGGGACCCTTCTTTACATTGCTAAAATAAATTAGTACCGGCAATGATGAGGTGGATGATCCTCCGGACAATATTTTTGGCCAGACATAAAAGGTCTCGTGTCATCTCGTGAAGTACCTTTTACGGACAGGTTACCTTTCCAACATTGAAATATAAGGACAATATTGACCATAATGCAAATGCATGTTTTTTCTGTAGCTCGGCTGTACAATTTTTGTCACTCGTCTTTTCAACTACTAATAGAGTGAATTTCTAACGACTCGTAAAAGCAAAAAGTCTACAGAGCTGAAACGCACCATAATAAATATGAAATTTTAAAAAAATTACCCAACCAAACATGTAATAAAATAGGCCTGGGCAACAGAGTGGATTTTCAATGTTTGACGCACTAATGCCAATACGGCTTGTCGCGTCAAAGCAACGCGTTAACTTTATGATGCCGCAAACTCCTCATACAATAAAATAAATGTGTTGTGAGGTAACAGAAGACCTCGTATTACGTTATGCGTAGTGGCTGTGTGTGTTAGCGCACCGCACCTTTTATGTGTTTTGGAGAAGACTATGGTCTTGGGTTTGGATATGTTCATGAAAAGATCATATCATTCGCTTTGTTTCACTATTTTATGGATCATTCTCTGTAAGTCACTTGAACTGTTGGCTAATATGACGGTGTCATCCACGTATCTTAAGTTATTTATTAGCTTTCCATTCACTACTATTCCTCCTTTTGTTTCGTCAAGTGCTTCTCTGAATATTGCCTCCGAGTATATGTTAAAAAGAAGGAGAGACAAGACGCAGCCCTGCCTCACTCCTCTCATGATCGAGACGTTTTCTGACATTTTTGCCGTTTATTCCGATTGTGTCCGATTGCCTCCAATATAAGTTACTAATTACACGATTGTCCCTATTATGTATATCTGTAGATGTCAAGATCTATATTAGTTTTTCGTGGTTAACGCAGTCAAATGTGTTGTGATTTTTTATAAAGCATGCGAATACGTCAATATTCAAATTTATCTGTGTCAAGACCATCAGAGAAAAGCGGGCTTTCCGTATGCCAACCTCATTCCGGAATCCAAACTGGATTTTGTTAACTTGGGTCTCACATTTGCAATAAATTCATGGGTAGATTTCTCTTAAGAAGGCCTTTAGAACATGTGACATGTGACATGTGTGAGATCAGGCAATAGCCGTCACAGTTCGAGGAGCCAGCCTTTTTGGGTAAGGTGATTATGCGGAAGTATGGTGAATTATATTTGTATATTTTGGTATTTGAGATGTTGCTGACAGCCATCGATCTTTGGCTTCTCTGCACTTTTTTCTAATTATTTTGTTATTTATTTGCCTCGGTTTTGTTCATTGTTCTTCGTTCTTTCACCGATTTATGACAGTATTTCCTGCGTCATCCACCTTTGCTTTTTGTTGCTTTATCTGAACCCTATCTGTTGCTCTTATATATTGTTAATTGACTATTACGCTCCATGTTGCCTCTGTCACTCCTCTTAATGTGTTTCATTTCTATTTCTAGTGAGTTTCTTACTTGCTCTTTTACCTTAGCCCTTTTATATTAGGATGTCCCAGTTGTCGGATTTCTCTGACTTTTGTGTTTATCTCTTTGCTTTTTTAAAAAGGTGTAGTTCAAATTCCACATCAACTGGAGTATGACTGCACTTTCACTCCTGGACATGTCTTCACATACCTTTGGAATTGTTTGATCAGTAGTATGAAATCAATTTGATTTCTCACTATATTTTTCGTGGTGTTTGCAGTAGAGGTCCATGTATATAGTCGCCATGGGTGGAGTGTGAAAAATATGTTGGTAATTACGTCCTGCTCTCAGCAGAATTGGATAAGTCGGTCGCCTCTTGTGTTTTTATTCGCTGGCCAGCTCCGATCTTTGCCTCCAGATCTCCGATAACCAGCGTCATTTCACCTTTCTTTGTTGTCCGCATCTGTTATTCAATATTGTTATAAAATTTGATTTGCTCCTGTATTTATATAATGTTAAAAATATTATATTTTTTATTTTCGATTTAGTGTTTTTTGAATAAGTATATTATTTTTTGCGAGTATTATTATTGTTTTTAAACTATTTTATCTGAACTTCCTAATTATCTCGCGGCAATACTTCCAAAAGATTAACGCCAATTCGGAATCATCCTGAACACAGTACCTCTTCATAGTCCTTCTCCAAAGCAGCCAAATCCTCGCGAGCTTCGGAAAATTCCCCTTCCTCCATTCCCTCACCCACATACCAATGCACAAACGCTCTTTTAGCGTACATAAGATCGAATTTATGATCCAATCTGGCCCAAGCTTCAGCTATTGCAGTGGTATTTGATAGCATGCAGACTGCTCTTTGCACTTTCGCCAGATCTCCACCTAGCAATAACAAGGAAAATAATTAGCAAACATTATAAATTAGCATAAATAATTATGAAAGTTAGAATATATATTTCTGAATACATAGTTATATTATTCATATACTTTTTATTAATATATGGGTCCATCAGTTTGTCACAAATATTATGTCACAAAAAATTTGAAATAAATCAGAAGATAACTGGAATAAATAGAGAATAACTACGATGAGAAAAAGGAGATAAGCTGAAAAGAAGAAAGGTACCCACATAGCAAAATGATATTCCCAGAATATACCTGGAACATTCATGTGATGTACATGCATATTCCTGGGACATACATGAGTTCCATTATGAA